CCCCCCGCCCACATCTTCTGCAAAGATATTAAGTGTCCCCAAAACCCTGCTAAATTCAGTTGAATGTGCACATGTTCAGCACAGATGAAAATCAGGCTCTTAACGATGATGGGTAACTCCCATTAACTCTGAAGTTTATTCTATACTAATAAAACATGCTAATTGACTTTGGACTGAGTTTCTCATGTTCTACTGCTGCCAAGCATGATTCACTTTGCAGGCACGAAGATTACAATAAATAACCACTTCACGATGGGATAATTCTTAAACCTGTTATCCTTGGCAGCCTCTTCGCAGCAAGATAGAAATAAAAAAGTTTCTAAAAAGGCTGGGACTGTCAAACGGGTACTGTGTATCTCCTCACCTCTCACTCCCTGAACACCCTCTTCTCAGAAGCAGGGAAGCTGTGATTTTTTCCTATCATTCTCTCATATTTCTGTAAGCAAGTGATTTTTGAGAGTTTCAATGTTTTCCATGAAGTCCCTTTCAGCTACTAAAACTGATTTCTCGGTTCAGGTTTCCAAACGCATGTTTTGTCAGCAAATTCAGGGATTAGGACATTCTTCTGGTCCCAAAACTGTGGGTACCTCCAAAACCAATTAAGAACCAGCTTAACTGCTCTCAAATTCAAAAGATGAAAGCTAAGCAGTCTCCTCAAATGACTGAAGCACAACTGCACATGACTGCTGCACCAACCACTCTTCCGAGATTGCAAAGCATACTTCTTAAAGTAAAAATATCTACAACAATGCTATGGAAAATAACATAAAACTAGATATAACCTCCTTGCCAAATCACCATTATAATTCCAAATGCCAAACTACAAATACATTATGTAAAAAGGAAAGTAAAAAAACTTAAGTGATAAAAGCAAAAAAAAAATCCAGTGACAGTGAAATCTTAACCCTGTTACAGACCATTACATTGGGACTTTCTCCTCTTTAAATTATTTACAAACAGTTGGAAGTTTAGTTTTATATATAGATGACTTATTTTATTGAACAATAATGTTTCAGAATGAATAAACAAATCAGAATCAAATGGAAAACATAACAAAATTTGTATTACCAACATGACCTTCTTCCAGAGATAATATTACCTTCAAGCATAGACACACCCACACCCACACCCACACACCCCTACCCCTTCTGCTTCGTCTGTATTTCATGATGCAGAACCATTACTGAAAAAAGGAAGTCAAGAAATATATAAAATGGGGTTAAGAATGCTTTGTGCTTTACCTGAATTAGTAAGAAGTGAAAAAATGGAAAAGGGAACTTTATTGCAAAGTTGTTTTTTTATGGCTTTTTGGATACATGAAAATTGCTTTGAGCTGATATTTTAAAAAGGTAAAAATGATATAAAATTCCATAATAAAAATGAAAGCTTAGATTTCCTGTTTGTTTGGGTTTTTTAATACAATGCTGGCATGTTATTTTTAGTTTCATCTCTTCTGTAACTGCACTGACAATTATTGAAAAATTACTTTTAGAAAATTACAGAACATTCAGCTCTCTACATGCAAAGTGAAGAGACCTACATCATAAATCTTTCTCTGGTGATGAAAACTGAATTCTTCACATATCTTCAGACTTGTATTCACCCACCTATTCTTCCTATTAAACTCTTCTAAAACTACTAAATTTATGGGGTCCTTAGCAGTTTCAGAGAAACTTCTATTTACAATGAATTAATGTATGATTTTTTTCTCCTACTCCCAACTGTTGCATTGCAGAGAGATGCCAAAACGCACAGAAAAGGAGTGTGCCTACCACCTAACACAAGGTATGCCATTTCAAGTTCACAGACGTGGCTTCTCATTAAAAAAAAGTCCTCAGCTGCCTTGACAGATGATGGGGAAAGGAGAGGAGTGAGGCAAGTCCAGGATATCACATGGAACAGAAGCCTAAGCTGAGATGCATTAAATAGTTCCCTGGAGCAGCTGCTCTCCCTCTGCCTATCTGTGAGAGGAGTACAGACAGTCAATACAGTAAGCCTATGGAGACCAGCATTCCAATATGGTTATATTGGTTGCAATCCTAAAACAAGGTGGTGTGAAAATTCCCCAAGAGGAGCTCTGGGAATATTGGATGCCAAATTCACCAAGTTACTATGATAAAAAAATCTGCCATATGCTGCTATGCATTTCTAAAAGATTATTGTCTTTTGGGTCTTGTGGCTTTCTTTCCATCTTAGATATTCATACTGCTGTCCAACAGCACGATGTCGTGCCCATTCTAAGCACAATAAATGAGTTGCAGCAAAGCCCCTAGAGAAGACCCTATGATTAGAGGATGCTCTTTCAGATTAAGGCTTCAAATTCTATGACCTTTCCAAAATGTAAACACTCATTCAACATGTGGGGATGCACACACAACTGTCTTCCTAGAAAAATGATATTTTTGGGCAAAATTCTGCTGCATTATTATAAAATCTTTTCTACTTCGTGAGTACCCAGATCTGACCAGCTGAAGACAAAAGTTGAAGACAGAGAATGTTTCAAGCTCCGTTAAATGTTATCAGGTTTATTACCATGTATTAGTATCAGAGGTGAATAGAAACAGCAAAAGAAAACAGAAAGTACAGAAAAGTGAACATGAAAGTTCTTGAATTACTTCTCTCATTTTCTGACCAACAGAATTAGCTTTTTTTCTTCTAATAGAGCACTAGTGGACCTGAGAGATTCAGTAAGACAACAGGCCATGAATTAACGGCACCCATGAAGAGAGTTTCTCAAGAAACAGTCACTTCGGATAATGAGACCTAATCACAACGACATCTGCTTAGTAATTATGGAATAGGTCTGTCCAGCAAACTCATTTCATTAAAACATGTTTTGCTTTGCTTGTGAGAACTGTCCTTTCCTTTGGAGGGGAAGGGATGTTTGCTGTAGGAGGATTTTGAAATTAAGGGTCACTGCTATTGCATAGCAAACTGGCATATTCACGTTGCCCGGACTTCCAAGGAATGGCTAGCTAATTTGTTTTTAAACAAACTGCTCATCTAATTTCAGAATACTATGCATTTTATTTCAGTTTTCTTGTTCCAACATAATTTCAAGACCTTGGGAACAAAAAGCAGGTTTTTTAGAAGATGGGTCTGGGTTCTGCTCAACCATCCCGAACTTTAAGCTGCTACAAGAAAATATCTCACAACTCCTTCGGTTTTCTTCTGAAAGAAGCCTGTTTGTGTTAGAATACTTACAGAATCTTACAAGCCTCCCTTAACTATTAAATTTAAATAACATTTAAATAATTTTGGTTAAATACACCTTGGTTAAAGAGTTGGACCGTAAGTAGGAACAAGTGTCTATTGGGTTTGTGTAAAAGGCAAATTTTCATGAACTCTGAGCTTGCCCAGAGCCAGGACAGCACCAGGACAGCAAGGGGCCCACTCTTACACAGCAGGTATCCTCTCGCCACTGCAAAGACAGGGTAGACGGGCTATCACTGGAAACATGTCCGGAGGCTGACACAGGCAAAATGCATTTTTCCTTGCCTTTACTCTCAGAAACATCTCATTCACAGTTTGTGGGTTGTTTTCTTGTGTGTGTGTGTGCCTGTGGAGGATGTGAGAAGGAGGAGGAGGGGAATTCAGCCCCAGGAACATATTGAAGATTGGATGGCTCTGGGACACATTCACAGGGTGCAGCCATGCCAGTTTACAACAGAGTTTAACCAGTGGCTCTGAATGTAGTTACTGTCCAGTTCCTGCCCAGATTACTGCTGCTGATTTCATTGGCCAAGGCTTTTTAATATACCAATCAGCATAAATCAGCATTGTCCTGGTTTTGGCTGGGATAGACTTAAATTTTTTCCTAGTGCTGTGTTTTGGATTTAGTATGAGGAGAATGTTGATAACACACTGATGTTTTCAGTTGTTGCTAAGTACCCTGCTAGTCAAGGACATTCAGCTTCCATGCTCTACCAAACGCGCAAGGGGCTAGGAGGGAGCATAGCCGGGACAGCTGGCCCAGCTGGCCAACAGGGTATTCCATAACATGTGATGTCATGCTCAGTATATGAATGGTAGGCGTGTTCCAGGAACTAGCAATTACTACTTGGTTATCGGTCAGCACGGGTGGTGAGCAATTGCATTGTGCATCACTCATTTTGTATATTCTATCATTATTATTATTATTTTCCCTTTTCTGTTCTATTAAATTGTCTTTATCTCAACCCATGAGTTTTTCTCACTCTTACCCTTCCGATTCTCTCCCCGTCCCACTGGGGGCGGCGGAGGGAGCGAGTGGCTGCGTGGTATTTGGCTGCCTGCCAGGTTAAACCACGACAAGCATATAGACAAAACAGCCTTTTCACCAGGAGCATGCTTCCTCCCTATTAGGCTTCTTTATGGAAAAAGACTTTGGACCTATTCAGTGGATCGGGACCTTCCATGGCAAAGATGCTGCTATATGGCACCGGAACAATGTTAATTTAACGGAGGCAACATGCTATTGTACTTAGAAAGTTCCCAAGTAAACCACCTTTGACTTCTCTAGGCTTCTCTTCCTAAACAATTCACACTGTGGCTCATCAGGTTCATTCCATATTCATTCAAGCAACAACCCTGACTAAATCTAAAGTTATGTTCGATGCTACTTTAC